TTTTATTTAAATTTATGCCTATGGTGTTTTTACTGCATTTTTTTTCACATTTAGAATAAATATTTCTCAAAGTCTTTTGTTGCATCTAATCATGGATCCCTGTAAGATAGGAGTCATCAGATTAAAAAGAAACTTGAGGCTGCAGTTGCTGTCAAAGGTGAACCAAGAAAGTATTAAGAAAAGGTTGTAAATGCTTACATAAAATTGATTCATTGGTTTTCCATTCATAATAAATTTGGAAAAACCCTCAAAGATTTTTTTTGTCACATTTTCACAGTGGGGTGTTTGTGTTCAGTATTTTGAGGGAAAAGATGAATTTACAGAACGCTTTCTTTTAAAGGAAGCAGATTAAAACAACGTGAGCTCGCTCCTCCAAAGTCGCTCCTGTTGCTGTGACGTTGCTGCCACATTGCAGAAACCTGTCACCGACAGTGAGTGGCTGAATTATGGCTGCTTTTCAATCCGGAGCACAATGAGAACACATCACAGGAGATGAGCTGCCGCAGAGTACCACCGACAGCCATGATGTGCCTGCTTATGATCTGAGTTGTTCAGATAATTTGATATGAATTTCTAAAAGGGCATCTGTCTCTAGTGGCATTATTACTTCAGCTGAACAGTCTATCAGACAGACACTTTTACGAGTTAAACTTCAGCAATCTATACAACATGGAACCTATGGACTCACTGCCATCAACTCCATCTTCATCAATTTATTATTTTTCTCTTTCTCTGTGTCTTATTCTCCCTAAAAAGGCCTTACCTTTCATTCTTAAGTTTTTTGCTTGTTTTTCCAAGCTAAATAAAAGTATAATAAAACAATCATTTATTCAAAGCCGGTCGCCCATAACTTATTTCCTGGTCTCATATACCCAAAGCACAGTCATTTCCATACAGTGACATTAGAAGCTAATCAGACATTAAAAGGCTTTTTATTAGGGCCATAAAACACAGAGCGGTGTGTGGAGACCGCTGACAGCAGCATACTTCCCACTAATTAATGAGTGGTCCACCACCTGCCCCTCAGTAATATCGTTATCCTTCTGCTCATAAAACATGCTTGTAGGCAGCTGCTCCTGGTTTTTTAATCACTTTTGATGGTTGGTCCTGCGAGAGTTAATCAGTGGTAGTAAAATCACTCGTTCAACTTTCTGAGTCTTCAGTCTCATTTGAACTGTTATCAAATAACTTTAATTTCAACAAAAACTATTGTGTTCTTTGATCTACCTTAGTTTTTGCAGTCCCTCTTGTGAGCTCTGGGTATGTGCCCTCAGCAATTTGATGGCAAGATAAATAAAACAACAGGGGCAGTATAAGGCCACATTTGATTTTTTTCTTTGGCTACACTCCCTCGTTTCTTGTTAAAGCTGAAAATTGTGTATGAATCTTACCTTCATTTAAATATGAGGTCCATGCACCTATCCTTCTCCATGAATATCCGTCACTCTGTTGTAAAAAAAGTCATAGTTTCTTTTGTACTTTTTGTCAATGTTAAGAGAATGGGCATGGACACGAGCATCGTTTTACTTCTCAGGTTTACAGGAGAGGCACTCACCGCCATAACCGCCCGCTGATGAGCTACCCAGACACTGGAACATTGATAATTTGGAGTTGGGTTGGATTTAAGAGTTGGAGTAAACTTTTTGTCCCCCTGAGATCATTTAAAATAAATCAGAACATTTTTGAATATAATTCTCCTCCTACAGTAGTGTTTGCAGGGTTTCCCCCAGTGTATTATAAGCCTGGCGGGCCACCAGGCTTTACTTGTGGTCCCACCAGGCTAAGCATTGCTTATTTATTTAAGCTTATTTTAAATGTTTGCATTTTTTAAGACTTTATAGTTGGTGTTCAGGTATTAATCTTCCAATCTTCCAATAACACATAATTATCAAGTTATATTTTCAAATGTCCTGTCAACTATAAACATCTTTTTAACTCAAAAACTCGACGGGCTGCAAAATGAATGTCTACCTACTTGCATGCACAGCTAAGTGCATGCAACTTTTTCACTTTCTCCAAATGTGAAAAACTCCAAATGTTTTATAAACCTAACTTTAAAAACTCACATTGTATTATCATTATAGGACACGGTCAAGTCCAATGTGTTCAAATTCCGTAACATCTCAAGACAGCACATAAGAGTAATAAAAGGTTTTGCCACTATAATGCATAAAGAAACGGGCCTCATCCATCCAAGACACAGTGCAGGAGTAAAGAGGAAATGGCCTTTTAGTGAAACAGTGAAATATTGTTCTGTGTAAGTAATCCTCCCTAACGCATGAGAATGGTGGGGGGATGGGTGAGTTTTTACAGATTATCCGTCCTTTCAGATGTTCCAGTCACCATTTGCATAATTCCATATTGCCCTTGTTTGATTATAAATGTCTGGCAAGAACAAAGAGTCTGCTCTCTTTATCTACTCTCAACAGTAACTGTCTTCCTGGTCACAAAACAAAACAAGAGACTAGCACAAACTCTTAAAAAATAACAAACCACCATTCCTATTTACACCTACTGCAATAAAAAAACTAAATGAGTCCATACATTGAACCAAACCTATATCTACACTGTTATGTTGAGCATACATTTTGTTTCTTATGGTGGAAATATTCCTATTGACTCGCTGCTAGTGGTCATAAGGTTGGAGAAACTAGCTATGATCTAAATTCACATAAAACCAGCAACCGACCATTTCTAGTTTATTACTTTATTTTTAGAAAGCCTTGTCTTTGTACTGTACAGGCATACGTGCCTGTTTTGTGGGTGCTTTGGAGATTCCAGAGCACCCACGTGTGCCAGACAACCTACACTTCTCATTGATTTATTAATGACCACAGCAACAAGTCTTACAAGCATGGTGAGTGCCATCGATGTGTACTACTGAATTGGACAGGGACTATTAGCCGCTATGGCCAGTGTTGTGCACCTTCAGGCGCCATTGCATTGATTTATGTCCACAAAACCGAACAGGATAAGCATGACTCTGTCACAAAAATGGACATAGTGACCCTTATTTTTTTGATCTGATTCCTATAATATAGTATAAAATATGGCTTAATTTAAAGCAGAGGAAAATTGGCAAAACTCTGATATGTAAAATGTGTATTTTTCCTAAATATAAATCTATAAACAGTTTGGTTTCCATCAAGATAACGATGAGGGCTAAAATTTATGTTTTATATTGGACAACTTAAGTTTTTATACTGGTCATTGCCGCTGTAATTACAGATTATCCGTCCTTTCAGATTGTTAAATACTTTATGATATAAGTTATCCTATTTGACGACTATTATATCTCAACCTTCTACAAACAAACAAGGCATTTAGACAATTTTAGTCGTCTGTTGAACTTTCAGAAATCATAGAAGCTGCAGGGCGCCACAGCAAAGGGAAAAAACAGCTGAAAAACAAACCAAGACCATTCGTTCTTTTCTTTCGCTTCGTGTCTCGGCTGTACTCCACTCACACACCTGCTGCCATGGCAACTGACACTTTTTTTTTAAAATTAATACTTTATACTAAACTGTGAAATGAGATCCCATTGGATCTTGTTATCTACTTAACACAATGCTGACAATTAATAGTAAAGCACTGCATCCCTTTTTTAGAGTATTTACGTGATTGTGTTATTTTCACGATCACGGATATTCCTTGCTCAGTGCAAAACAATGTTGATATGTCCAGTCCAGTAACAGGGTCATGAAAGGTGAACACCCACCAGCAGAAACACAAATCGCTACCCCTGGTACAGGTACATTTGATTCAAACTATTGTCTTCTCATCCTTAAATCATCAAAGTAATTAGACCCAGCATAGGAGTAATGTCACCTATGCTGAGATATACTCAAAACCTTCCTGAGATCAACTGGTCAATCGCAATCAACGTATTGATCACCCCTGTTGTTGAGCATTGCCAACTCTGTTGCTGATTTTGCCTAGTGGATCACAGTAAGGCTTCGGTCAGAAAGTAAACAGAAGTCGATTTTTAAGTGTTTACTTTAGAAGTACAGGTTGCCGTTCTACAGAGACAAATAAACATACAGGCAGATATACAGTGGAACGGTTTTGGTCAAAGTACATGTCTGTTTGAATTACCCAGTCAAAGACCAGATCTAATTTTAGTTGAGAAACTGTGGACTTGAAAACTCGTGTTGAAAGATGTTCTCTATCAAATCTGATTGAGCTCGAGTCGTTTTACAAAGAACAAAGGCCAAAATACAGATGTACGATCTTGGTAGAGACAAACTCCAAAAGCAGCCAAGGATTCTGTTACAAAGTGCTGACTCAAAAAAGGATCAATACTAATAAACACCACACTTCTCAAATTTGTTTCCTTTTTGTCAAAAATATCGACTCCATTAAGCATTTGACTTCCATCTCAAAGTTTGGCACCAGTTTGTGTCACTTTGTTCCATTAAATTTTGGTTGGGACGTGATGTAAATTTTAAAAAAGTCAAGTGGTGTGAATATTTTTGCAAACCATTTCACTTGGATTGTTTCATATTATTATTTGCAAGTACATGTATTATTTAATTGAAATATGTATGTCAGAGAGGAAATTATTATTCATTGAACACGTAAACCTCAAAAGCAGCAACGTGATCTCTGATCTGATCTGATCTGATCTGATGAGGCGGAGCACAGACAGATCCAGATGTAAATGGGCCATCAACGCCTGGGAGCATGCGTTGCCTTGTGTTTGTGAACCAATTGCTCAGAAACACACACTAATCACAGACTGAATGCAGTGTCTGTAGAGGACCAACCACAACAATAGATGTCCCATTCAGAGCAGCTGACCTCCCTGACACATGGACCATTGTCCTCACTTTAGCCCCTCACAGTGGGCTGGACCTGGGTTACTATTTATCATTATTCTAAAGTGATCACTTATATTCATGTCTACATAGAGCAAATTGAACAAACTCATAACAGCAACAACTGGGATTTTATGAAAAAAAAAACAAAAAAAAAACAGTTTTGTTTGCATGGCACCTTACCTTTTATAGAAAGCATGCAGAGGATGAAGACAGAGGAACTGCCAGTAATCCCAACAAAAAGCTTTGAACTTCCACATGGTCTCTGACATCAAGAAACACCGATCTTCAAAAGGTCCATCCTCCTTCTACAAATACAGCATAGCCACAAAAGAATCCCAGGTCAGACCGTCCACATGATGTGGCCCCTCCTCAGCACCATCCTGTGTGTCTGAGCCACGTGGAGGCGGGTGGATGGTGGATGGGGTTTGGAGGGTGGGGGGAGTTGAACCGGCATCTCTCCGCTGCCTTTGTTGATGGTGAGCAATTTTCAGAATCCGGTCGAACACTGCGTGTTTCTCTCTCTGTTGCTGCTGAGGAAACATGTGGCTCAACACCTCCGAGGCAGGAACAGAGGAGGTGGCTGTCTCCACCGGCAGCCACTTACAGCTGCTCCCATTGTCCAAGTGGACACACTGATAAGGTCTGCCTGCGCTGCGCCTACCCGGGCCAACAAAGACACAAAGGCCTCTCCCTCCACCCCCCAGGTGGCTGTATCAATTAGACTTTATCAGATGCTGCGCAGGCCTCTGCTGAGCCGACCCACTCTGAGTCGAGCTAATCGGCCGCGGCACCTTATGCGCTTGTGAACTGGGGACTAGCATGCACACACAAAGCTTTGGCAGGCTGACAGAAGAACCGAAAACGCAACATGAAAAACTGCAAGAAGCACTGACTGTTTCTGTAGCATTTGCTGACTGGCTTAAGAAAGGGAGAGTACTCCTTTTGTCATGAGGTGTTGAGCAAAGAGGAGCCAAATGCAGAGCAGCAGAGAAGATGATGAAGATTTGATGGAAAAATAAAAACATAAAATAATAATAAACTAGAAAATTCCTGCAGAAATTTTAAGGGGCCTGCCAAAGTGTGCCCGTCAGTTTGGACCCAGCGTTCCGA